TATTATTCAATCTTAAATAAATTCCTTTGGGAAAAAACCTGAATCTATGGAAAATTACAAATAAGAAACAATGAAATCATATCCAACTAATATTATATAAGTCGATGATGAATTATAATTTGTATTTTCGAATTATAGAGGGACGGAAGCATAAATTATTGAATATATGACTTTTGGTGATGTCCTTGAAATTATTTAATTATTGAAAGTTTTATTTATTTAAATTAATTAATATAAAAAATATAAATATATATTTATTTTTAAAATAAAGAATGAACATGATGATCCACTGACATATGAAACTAGTGTTGAAATTTATATTTCGAATCCTTCTCTGGCTAAAATAACAAGGTTGAAGCATACATTTAATTAAAATTCTATAGGAATTATTAACCATACTTTTGATGTATACACTGCTTATTTTTTTGATTTAAATAGGTATTAAAGGAATACTATGTCTTTATATTTTTTATTTTTTTTAGTCATTCTGATATTTCATCATAACTGCAATAAATTTATATCATAAAAATTATGTATATTTGTCTTGTCATTTTTAATATTTTGGGTTCTTTTATTATGAAAATTATTTCTATGCTTGCTAAATTTATTACAACTAAAATCTTTATTTTTGATATGTATATTTTATTTTTTTTAACATAATTTTTGATATCCTTATTTTTTAAAATAATAAAAATAAAGAGACCTTATTATAAATATTATTATGAAAGCACTTGTAATTACTTATTTAACTTAATGGTTTTCCTTATTTTAAATATATGAGTAAAATTAATATTTTGAAATAAACTATATATATAAAAATAATAAAAAAAATTATAAGTGATATAGATTTAACTTCTTATTTTATAAATTTTAATAATTTTACTACTCTAGATAATTTCATATCTGAGTTTTATTTTAATAAAGTATTTAGTATTATTACTTTAATAATTTTATGTTATTAACTTGTAATAATGATAAATTCATTAATTCCTTCATTTGATATTATTTATTACTCTTTAAGAAATTCAGCTAAAGATTTAACTTTATTAATTATCGTAAATAATAATCTTATATTAATTTAAGAAAAATAAAATAAAAAAAGTTTATGTTTGTATTATTATTAGCCTTTGTAGTTATTAATACCATTATTAATTGTAATTCAGAGTATAAATTATATAGTACATTATATAAAACAATATAATCAACATTTGAAAATGTAAAAAATATATATATAAAAAAAATGTGTATTAAAAAAAAAAAGTTATTTGGAAATACATAAGTAGCCATATCTAATGATATGAAAGGGGAATTAGGATTTACAATACAATTAATATTTTTAATATTTTTTAACTTCATATTAATACCATATTTTTTCTCAATAATTATTGTTATATATAATTAATTAAGATCCCAAATGTCAATTACTACTTAAGCAATAACTGAAATAGCAGCCGAATAATCCCAAAAAATGTACTCGAAAATTCTTAATTTGATCACTTTTGCTCAACCTTAGGAAGACGAAAAAAAAGTATAAATCGAAGAAAATAATTAACCATAACATCAATAAAATAGCAATCCAAATAATACTGATCCTAATAACAAATAAAATAATAATTCAAATAATTAACCAAATAATGCAACGGTATAAATCTAATACCATAATAATTCTATACTTTCTAAAGCTATGTCATTATAAGATTCTCCTTACTATCCTTACTAGAACAAAAAAAAAATACCTAAAAAATCATTATAATCGAAAATAGTTACAAATAATAATAGTGGTTCTAATGTAAACCCAAACGATAACTCTAGATTATAAGCAAGTCAATTAAACTATAATCTCCCATTAAATAAAGCTTAAAAAGCATAATAAAGTAATGCCATATAAATGTCTTGGAAAGAAATATTATAATATAATATAAGATAGCTAGGTTTTAATGTAATTTTTATATTAATTTTTTATTTATATAATTTTTTTTAATTTTAAAACAAAAAGTTTTTTGGATTTTTTCCTTCAAAAGTTGAAGTATAAACAAAATAATAAAGAATAGATGAAATAACAAAGAAAATATTCGAAATTACAGATTAAAAAAATAAAATTAAAGCCGAAAAAAATTCCCTTGAATTCAAAAAAAACTACGTAGAAAAAAGCTTAAAAAATTCATTTTTTCATATTTTATTTTTAATTATTTTTCTTGAATTATCCACAAGTATTCTCTTGATAAAAGAAAAATATTAAATTAAAGAAATTATGAATTATCATTATTTATAAGAATAAGTATCTTTTGTATATGGAAACGAATAAAAAAACATAAATTTTACATAAATTTAAACTATAGAAGACCTATATTAATGGATTTCCAAAGTATTTTTACCAATACTTTAGCCGTAAATGGAGTCAAATCAAAACATTCCTCGATTAGACAAATTTAACTATGTTTTTGGAAAACATCCGGCTCGAATTTCTATTAGAAAAACCTAACTTTCTGGTTTTAATTACTTCCATAATATAACAGGACACCCTTTGAGAATATATGTAAGACAGAGTGAAGGTACAAGATTTGACTAAATTATGCCGACTGAATTCAATAAGGATTTTACAGGACGTGAAACAGGACTTAAATATTATTATGTTTTTCCAAATAATGGGTATTCGGCTTTTAATTCTGGGGGATATGTATAATATTTTTCGAAAAATAACTAAGAAAATTAAGTAGTTTTTTAGGATTTTTATAAGGATAAAATTATAAATACTGATGTACATATATATTTATATTTTATTTTATTTTTTTAAAAAAAGACCGTTTTTGTAACATTAGAATGCCTTTTTCATAATGAATTTCATGATTTGTATACTACTGTAAAAATAACATTTTAAATATATTCTAGTGGAAATATAGAAAAAAATTTATATATTAATGTAAACTATATATATATATATATATATATATATATATATATATATATATATATATATATGCTTTTATTATATTAAATAATAGTCTTTTATGTTAAATTTATATTCAAAAGATAGAATTTATAGAGTAATATGGGAAATATTATATTTGATATGTATAGGTATTTATTTATACAAAATTATTACATAATTTCGGAAATAATTTATCTGTCCAGAAGCATTAAAAATAGTAAAAAAATAAAATATATATATTATAAAAATATATAAAAAAGACGCCTTATTAATTCGAATATTTAAAAGAAACAAATTACATTTTGTATCTATTAGATTACGATATATTAGAGACAGAAGAATTTACAATAGTGAACATTTGCTTAAAAATAATAAAGCGTATTTATTAATATACTATGAGATTTTTTTTAGCCTGTAAGTTATATTGTAAGGATAATTCGTCAAACGTATTCACAGTAGTTGGATAAATTCTCCATTTAGTATTCATTGGATTTTATATAACCTATTTATTTGATAAAGATAGAATAAATATGGATGAATCATAAGAATTAACATACGATACTATAGGTAAATTTAATAATTTTTAATTTTTAATAGAAAACTAAAGTAAAATATTGAGTGTATAAATATTCATTCAATTTTTAAAACTTCTCTTTTATTTCGGTTTTTCGGAAAAACTAGAAATCGTTATAAATGTAATATCAGATGCTAAACTTGATTTTTTTTTCTTTTTTATTATTCTTTTTATAATTCTAAGTATGTTTGCTATTGTTGGAATGACAATTTTTGGTTCTTATATTTAGTAATTTTCGTCTTTTGATAGTGCAATTATAAGTTTAATTGAATAGTTAGCAAGTATAGATATTTTTCCTTCAACTTCTGAAGAATTTTAATTATCTTAATATTTCTTTTACATAATATTTATGGTATATATATATATATATATATATATATATATTTTATATATAGTTATTATATATATATATATATTATTTTTATAATTAGATTTGCATATAATTAATTTTAATGAAAATGTTTATTGCTATTTTAGATGGTTATTTTATTGAAAATACAAAAAATTTAGACTAATCTTCTTAAGGTTTATTAAATGTTATATATGAAACATTAAAATAATGGAATGATGAACGAAAATAAAAAAAAACAAAATTTGGCAAATAAATAATAAACTAAAGTGGAATAAACATTTACTAGTTCTTAATCAAATATACATATGTAGCATATGAAAAATACACTTACTCGTATAAAGGATAAGATAGAGTCAATATTTAATTATTTAATAAATATTATTTTAAATATTGTTTTTGGTGATGATGAAGAAGAAAATAAAGTAGAATAAAATGAAAATCTTATTTATAAAATATAAAATAATTAATTAAATAATAATATTAATTTCGATGAAATTAATAATATTTAAAATTAATAAGTATAAAATATTCACGAAAGATTAAATGTGATTAATTATTATATTTAATAAAATGATGTAGTTAATTTCTAAAATTAACTGAATGAATAAAAGGATAAAAGTTCAGTCTATTATTGGATGTCTTTACTTTAAAATTCTGTTTTATAAACTTCTAATAATAAAATTGATTTTTCTTCTTTTGATAAGTTAGGGAATTCTTTATTATCTTAAAATAATTAGTAGTAAAAAAAATAATTGTTAAATAATAATTTACATAATTATCATTTGGAATATTCCGAATAATGGAAGCATTTATTTAATATGGATTAATTTAATAAAATAAAAGAAAAAATGGTCAATTAAATTATAAGTATTTATAATGTTAATGAGAAAAAAAAAGATTAACAATTGTAAACAAATAAAATAATTAAAACATTTTTAATTATTATTATTTTTTAACTAAAAATAAATAGAAATTAAATATAACAATAAATTGAAATATATTTCTAAACTTAATAATATGATAATATAATTAAAATTCTATATGTAGGATGTAAAACACTAATTAAAAATTATCTGAAAAATAATTCTGATTGTGAAATTTTTATTGACTATTTATATTATATTATGTACATTTATTATAACTTTATGACCATAGAAGTTGAAAATGAGCCAACAAATGCTGAATAATAAGAAGATATAGAAAAAAAATAAGAAAATGCAAAAAGTAAAAAAAATAAATAAATATGAATATAAATTTATATATAAATATAATTAAATATATATAAATATATATATATATATATATATATATATATATATATATATAAAAAAAAATACAAATTTATATACAAATTCAAATACAAATTAGTTAATTTATCTTTCTTGGATTTAAGCAGATATGTTGATGATTTCAAATTTAACGATAATGAAAAGGAAGAATTATAAAAAATGGTTAAAAAGCAGAATATTAATTTCATCTTTTAATTAAACAATAATAAATAAAATTAAGATGAATATAATAATTTTAACAAAATTAATAAATAAAATGATATCTTAAACGATATGAATTTCGATAATATATAAATTAGAAGATAAAGAAATGATAAAAAATAAACGACTATTAAATTAGATAAATAGAGAAAAGGTAAAATTATAACTTAAATTTATTAAAAGAAAAATGGGATGCCAAAATAAATGCATGATAGAATAAGTGAATATGAATTAACAAGTTTATTTTAGAAAATTTAAATTTTAAAGTTGATATGGGATGAAGTTTCTTTAAAAAAAAAGTTTTTTTAAAAGTATAATTTAAAAAAAATAATTAATTTTTTTTAATTAAAAGAGTCAATTTATGGTTTGGTTTTGGAAAATAAAAGCCTTTAATATAGCCTTATATGAAGATAGTTTTATGGTAAATTATAATATATAATAGATACATAAAAAACTATTTATATAAAAAAAAATATATTTTAGGAACATAATGGAGTTTTAAAAAGATAATTATTACGCGTTTAAAAGTTATGAAAAACTAAAGTAAGAATAAAAGTAAGCGCAAAAAAAGGAAAAAAAAAGCTCAAAAAATATTAGATAAATATCCTTAAAAACAGTTCAAAATGAATAAAATGCAGAAGAAATTATAAATAATAAAAAAAATTAAATAAATAAAATTGAAAACGAATAAAAGCCTAATATGGAATTAGTTAACTATTGGTTTGTATTAGGTTTTTGATTTAAATAAAAAAATAAAAAAAATATTTATTTAAATAAAGGGAAAATAAAAGAGTAGAATGATAAAAATTAAATAAAAGACGAATATAAATAAGATGAAGAATAATAAATAAATATAGATGAATAATATTAAAATCTTCTTTAATAATAAAACTTAGATGCAGAAGATGTAGATAATTAAGAATGTTACTTATTTAATAAATGCTAGTTAAGGTTTATTAGATATTTTGTAAGGGGAGAAAATGATAGAATTAAAGCCCTTTAAGGAATAAATAAATTTAAATAAAAGTTTAACTTTTTAAAAAGATAAAAAAAGTAAAAGACGATCATAAATTAATTATATTTTACTTAATGACAATAACAGAAAAAATAAGATTAATTTTCTTTGGAAATAATAGTGTTATAGCAAAAATAGAAGTTTTTTTTATTTTAACATAAATAAATAAATAACATTTATATATTTAAAAGCTACTTATGATTTTAGAAGAAAATTATGAAAATGTAATGGGAACAATGAGATTAGAAAAAGATTTAAATAGAGAAATTTAATAATGGTTATTTGATTTTTATTTCTCTTATGCTTAGTAAATATATATATTGAAAAAATTAAAATATTTTTAATTTATAAACAGAAGCAATAGTCTTGAATATTCTTATAGAATAAAAAATTCCTTCCAAATTTATATGAAAAATCAGGAAGATATTAAATGGTTTTTAATAAAAAAATAATAAATAAAATAAAAAAAAAATATAAATATAAAAAAAAATAAAAATATAAAAAAAAATTAAAATATATATATATATATATATATAATATATATAAATATATATAAATATATATTTATATATATTTATATATATTCATTTATATATATATTCAAATAATTCTTTTTAAACTAAAAATATTTAATTTTTTTTTTATATATTACTAAAATATTTTGAATATACATAATACCTTATATTTTTCTATTAATATATAATTATATTTTTTTTATTTTAAATAAAAGTTATATTGAATATTTAGAAAATTAGAATTATAGATTAGATTATTAAATAAAAAAATATGTTTAAGATTTAATTAGTTTAGTTTGAATCTATTTTACATTAAATTAATAAATAATTATATAATATTTTTTTAAAAAAAATATATAAACTTTTTATTTAATACATATATTATTTTTATCATATATTTAAATGATTATATTTTTTTATATCTATTTAATTATTTGAATTTAAATATTTTATAAATATTCCAACTATTATTCCTAAAACAATGTATACAATATATTTTTAAAATTAAATTTCTATATAAAATTAAAATAATTAATATTTATAACTTAAATATGTTATTTAAAAATTAAATATACTATTAGTATGTTTAATTTGACTTTAGCATTATAAAGATTTAGCACATTAACTAATATACATATCTTTTTCTTGTTTTATTTAATTGATTTTATTTTATTTTTCATCTATTTTATTTTTTAGATTATCATATTTTTATTTATAATTTTATTTTTCCTTGTTTTTAAAATGGCAATCTAAATTTTATTATTATTTATTTTATGATTAAAAAATATTGCTTGATTCTTCTTACCCATTTTTATTCATAAACATTGAGTTTATAACTTAATTATTTTACTAGGAAACTATTTCTACTGGGACAATTATTTTTTATTAACTTTTTACATTCATTCCTTATTTAAATATTTAATTAAAATCTGTAATAGTCTTAAAAAATATATATGTATATATATATGTATATTTATATATGAATATATATATATATATGTAAATTTAAATTATATAAAATTTAATTTTTAAATATAATAAATAAAATAAATATATATATTTACATTATTATGTAATTTACACATTACTAGTTAAAATTTATTTTTAAATTAATTATTTTTTAATAATTCTGGATGTAATGTAAAGTTCACATGAATGCTTTTATTAGGTTCTATTATTTATACATTTGGTTTTACTAAATATTTCTCTTAATCCGTTGATTTAAACTATTTATATAATTTTATATTATTTTTTATATTTAAAACTTTATATGCTATATAATATTCTGTATCATTATGTAATGTTAAAGAAGAAGGTAAATATTTGTTAGGAATATAATTAAAAATTATTTTAGGAGAACTTAAATGTAAATATTATAAAGTATTTAAATTATTCATTTTTTTGAAAATTTTTAATAATTAATTGTAAGTAAATTAATAAAAAATAAAATAATTAATTTTTTAATTATCTTGAATAAATAAAAAGATTTTCTAAAAAAATAAAAAAAAAATTAAAATATAAAATATAAAAATAAAAATAAAAATAAAAATAAAAATAAAAATATTAAAAATAAAATATAAATAAAAATAAAAATAAAAATATAAAATTAAAAAAAATATATAATGATAAAAACACAAAAATATATTTTTTTAATATTAAATATCATAAATAAAATACATATTAATATTTATAAAATATATGTAAAAAAAAAAAAACAAAAGAAATATATATAAAATATATATAAAAAAATATAAATATATATATATATATTTATATATTTATATATTTATATATTTTTATAAATATATTTTTAATTTATATATTTATATATAATTTTTTTTTAATTTATAATCCATTATAAAACAAATAATTATTTTTAATATTTTTTCTTTTATGTATTTTTTTATTTAATAATATATATATATTTTGCTATTTATAATACATTTTTATATATATATATATTTTTGTTTAATTTAATATTTGATATTTTAATAAAATTATATTTTATTTATTTAAAAATAAAATTTATTAATATTTAATAAATTAATAATATATTCTATATATAATACGTCTAACTATATATATTTTTTATTAATGAATATTTGTTTAGTTGTAATTCCTGAAAAAATATCTTAATTAATAAAAGTAATTTAATTTGATCTTTATTAATATTTTTATCTCAATATAATATATTAAATTTTTATAACTTAATTTTTTTTTTTTCTATAACTATAAATGTTTTTTAAATATATAAAAAATTATTTTCCTTTTTTTATAATGGATTATTGTTTAATATTTTTATTTATTAAGAAATCTATATATTGTTATTATTTACTTATTTAAATTATCCTTTTTTAATTTTATTATTGTGATTAATATTTATTAGAATCTTTCTAATGTTATTCTATTCTATTCCTTTTTATATAATTTTTATTTTTGTATTTTAAGTATTTTTTTTATATATTTTTTTATTTATTTAATTATTGTGTTGTTTCTTTTATTTAATTTTATAGTTTTATGTATAATTTTATTCATAAAAATTTTATAGCAAAATATTTTTTTTAAAATACTATTTTAATATCTATTTTAGGTCAAATTAATATATTTAAATTATAAAATCTTTTTTTTATATAATTTTATTTTTATTATATTATTAATGAACATCTTTTTACTTTGCTTATAATGCAAATATATACATGATTTATATATTTAAAAATAAATATATACATAAATAAAACTAATATGTTATTTTATCTATTGTAAATTCTTAGGTAAGCATTTATTATATAATTTTTAAAATATTTTTTTATTATTAAATAATTAAAAAAGATATTTTTTTTATAATTAGAAATGAATTATATAAAAATAGAATCCGCTTAAAAAATAAATCTAAATTAAGATTAAATAAATTATTTAAATGATAAATAAAGTTTAATATATATTAAAATATAAAAAATGCATTTATATCATTTATTATATTAATGAAAATGATTTTTTTTTTTTTCTATTATATTTAAGTTATTTATAATTTTAGATATCAAACATAATTTTAATTTTTTTTCAAAAAAAAAAAATCTAAGACCTATTTTTTATTTTTAATTTTAAAAATAATTATATATAGCATATATATTTATATAAATAAAAAATTCAAAAATCATTTAAAATTTTTAACACTTTAATTTATATTTTTTTTTTTTTTTTTTTAATAATAACGGCTTTAAGTTAAACTAGTTAAATAAATATTAGAAATAAAAAAATGAATTTAAATATTATAAAAGAAATTCAATATTTATAACAAAATCAAATTGCAAATAACCATTTCAAAGAGGCAAATACTTAAAAAATATAAGAAAATTAAAAATAATTATAATTAGAAGAAAACGAATTTGTTAATAGGAATAGTTTATTAAAATTAAAATAATTAAATACATCATAAACAAAACAAAGAGGTATTTAAAGATAAGAAAGTTCTTTAAGTGGAATAAGCTATATTACTGGAAAATAATCAAATATAAATAAATAAACAAACAATTCCAAATTTAAAAACTCATAAGAAGAAAAGGCTTAACCAAACTTAAATTTTGTATAAAAATTAAAGAGAATTTTCGCAGGAATTTTTTAAGTGAAAACAGTTAAAAAGAAAAAATAGGAAATACAATAAACAAAAGAACATAATTAATTTGTATAAAAAAAAACAAAATAAAACTTAAAACAATAAAATATATATAAAAGTAAAATAATAAAATGAAAAGCTTATTTATAATTCTTTCGGAATTAAATAGTAAATAAAGAATATAAAAAGCCGTAAGGCATTTAAATGATGCAATTTTATTAAGAGCTGTTAGACATGATATTGACAGTTATAATATACATATTTAAATTTAATATTTATATTATAAAAAATATAAACTATAATAATAAACTACAATAATATTATATTGTTTTTAATTTAATTTTTTTTGTTAATCAAAAAAATAATATTTAAAGGTCCTATTTAGAGAAAATCTGTTGTATTTATTTATAATTGGTAAACTAATATTATTTGGAATGAAATTTTATTTTTAACTTCTTTTATATATCCTATGTTATCATTTTTTGAAGAAATTGTAGACTAATCATAAATTTATAATAAGATTTTCGTTTGTGAAATAGGATTTTTAAATGTTTTTTTATTCGATTTGTTTCTTGAAACATTTCATAGATTTTTTGATAAAGATAAATAATTAGTTGACTCTTTTATTTATAATCATAAATATTTATAAAAAGTTTTGATATTTTTTGTTATATTAGCAGACTTTATTTATTATTTAAACTCTTTTCCTAAAAATATTATTAGATTTGGAAAATATATAAGACCATGTATTTTTTGTTTTTGTTTTAAATATTATTTTTTTGTTTAATAAAAATAGTTCTTGTACTATTTTATTCAAAAGAGTTAAGAAGAACATTTTAAAGTATTATTTAGTCTTTAAAAGAAATTATTTAGCTAATAATATTGGTTTTATTAATAACATTTTTTTTTGCTATTATTGGATGGAAGTTTATTGGTGATTTAGATAATTAAGTTTAATTCGATTATTATTAAGTTAAATTAATAATATATATACCAATAATACTAATATTTTAATAAAATATAATAGAGTAACTTTTAAAATATTACAATTGCTTCAAATATTTTATATTCATTAATAAGTTTTGATGGGTATCCTGATTGTATGATGCCAGCTTACAGTAAATATTTATTATAATATATATAAAATTATATTGATAAAAAATTAGATTATTCAGTATTTTATATAATTTATTTTCTTTCTTACCTTATACTTTATTTATTAATATTTATTCCTATTCCAGTTGCAGTCGTTTTCGAAGCATTTCGAGTAAAAATTTAATTTTCAATTTATATTCAGAAACACATAATTTTTTTTTTACCAAATAACAAAAAAAAGAACTCTAGAAGTAAATTAGTTATAATGGATAGAATTAAATAAAAAGAGGCTCTATTGGCTTGTTTTGTCTCTTTAGATTTTAGCGAGTAATAATAAATATATATATATGTATATATATATATATATATATATATATATATATATATATATAAAATAAAAAATAAAATGTATAAAAAAAATAAGTAAAAAATCAATAGACTATAATATATTTAAAGAATTTATGTCAGTTGCCTACTATAATAAAAAACGCTATATAAAAAAAATAAAAAGTTTATATTTACACATAGATCTAAATGATTCAAATTCAATTTCATTAAATGAATTTTTTAATCTAGCTGAAATACTTGAAAAAAATCCCAATTTTTAAATTCCTTCGTTTCCCGATTCTGTTTTATGGGACAAGTTAAGAAAATTTATAAACCGCAAACTATATTTGAAAAAAATCGCCAAAAGTACTTATTTTGAACTCCTTATGATTGTAATTCTATTAGCAAATTGTGGAGTTGTTTTTGCCTAAAATTTTTAAGAGGAAAACGAAAATTTAGATTTTGCAGATAATCTTTTGAATAATTTTTATATAGCAGAATGTGCTATTAAAATTGTGGGTTTGGGTTTTTCAAGATACTTTGATGAATCTTGGAATTTGTTTGATTTTATTTTAGTTATTTTATCACTTTTAGGAAGTATTTTAAATTAGATTTTAAATCTTTTGAAAAGTGCAAAATCAGCAAGAACAACAAAATTGATTCGTTTGACAAAAATAAATAAATTTTTTAGAGTTTTTAGAGCCGCAAGAACTATGAAATCTTTCACTTTTATTTCAATTCTAGTAGAAGCAATTAATTAAGTTAAAATGTTACTACATAGGATTTTTATGTGTATACCTATAAGTAAATTATATAAATATCAATATTATATATATATATATATATATATATATATATATATATATATATATATTTATAAAACTTTATTTAGTTTCTAAATTAATACCTATAATATTAATTGTTTTTTATCTTTATGCTTTATTAGGAGTTTAATTATTTAATACAAATATACATTAATATAGGGAAAATTCTCCTTATAATAGTAATAATTACATAGATTTTACATGTTTTGCAAATGCAATGCTTATTTTATTCTAAGTAATGATAGAGGCTAATTGGAGTGTTTTTACATATGATTATGCTTACAAATTTGATAGTTTTACACTCTCAATGTTTTATTTCAATTCTTTTCATATGATTATTTAATTTGTTCTTATTTCTCTTATAAAAGGTATTGTTTGGGAAGTCTTCACTGTAGTAGATAAAACTATTAAATAAATAGAACTAAGTGAACAGCTTTAATAATAATTAGAATTAATAAACAATAGATAATAATAGGAAAGTAAAAATGAAAGTTTTATTAAAGAAAAATAAAAAAGAGAAATTCCAAATAATATAAAAAAATAATAAAGTTTATAAAATTAAGAATCTGAAAAAATCATAAATATAGTCCAAGAAGCTATAAATGAATATGATAATATTTTAAACTAAATTGTTAAATTATAAATTAATACTATGTCTTATAATTAAAGTATACCATTATAAGATATAAATGAAGAGAATAATCATATTAATGTAAAAAATTAAAACTCTAAATGTAATAATCCTATATAAAATATCTAAAATTAATTTAACTTTTAATAACAATCTTTATATTTTGATGATTAGACTAATGTTCATAAAGAAATTTGCTTAAACCTTCATATTGATAAATAGAAGTTATAATTTTAATAATAATAATAAGATTCATATTAGGAATAAAAATAAAGTTAAATAATTTAATTTGAATAAGAGGTTTATTAACTAAAAAATAAAATTAAAGCTTTGAGTAATTTAATGAATATTTAAAGACATAAAGAAAAAAATATATAAGATATTGATTTTACTAATGATTTTATTATTTCCGATGATGAAGATGGAATGAATAATTACTCAAAACAATTACATTTTCATATATTAGGTTTCTTTTTTTAATTATAAGAAAAAAATATTTTTATAATTTTTTTTTTTTTTTTTTTATTATATATATATAAAAAAAAGAAGATAATGATTAAGAAGAAAAATTGTAAATCGATTAAAAAAATTAATAAGATAAAAATGTTATTGCTAATATAGGATAAACAAATATGAATTAAAATTATATTATGAAAAAAGCTCTTTTATAAGATTCAAATATTGATATTATTAAAAAATTAGAAATCGATTATTTCCAGAATTCTTACGGAAACTTTTTTAATATTTTTCATAATGTAAATATTGCTCCTTTATTAAGATATGAAGGCTTTCTTTTATATAATTTCTAAAAATTACTTAGATATAAAACTATTTAAAATAAAGTATTTTTTAAACTCCTTCTTAATATTGAAAAAAATATAAGCGATGTAATTTTTAGAAAAGGAAGTTTTATGAAATTTATTTTTTAAGTAAATTTTATTTAACTTTAAATAAAAGTATGAATAATAAAAAAAATAAAAAGGATTCGCAAGATAATTGGTTTTGCTTAAATTAAAAAAAAGGGGAAATTTAACCTTGTTTAATAAAAAATGGTCCTTGGAAATATCAAGAAAGTGCATTTAATAGTGAAAAAGAAATATATATATCAAGAAATTTTTTTTACCCTTCAAAAAATAAATGTATGTAATAATTACTTGTTGATTTTTATTAATCATTTAAAATTTTGGCAAGTTCAATTGATAATGAGTAAGAATTTCTTAAATTAAATCCTAATGTACATAAATAGTGAGAAAATAAATAAAATTATTTTATATAAATTAAAAAAATAAATAGTAATTTATTTAGTCTTTATGAAAATAATGAATTTTAAGATGAAACTGTATTTGAGGCTAAATAAATACTACAATAAAATTATATAAATAAAGATATTAAAATAATAGTTCATTCAAAAAAAGTAATGATTTTAATTCTTTCTTATGTAGGTGAAAGTGAAATTAGTTTAAATAATACTTAAGACGCAGGTATTTATAATGAACATTATTAAAAAGATGAAAATAAAAAATAAAGAAAATTTAAAGTTAATATTGATTCTATTAAAAATAAAGAAACTAAGGATAAAGATAAAATTAATTAATTAAGTTCTATTCCTTTAGGTTATGCTATTGAAATGTTAAGGAGTTTTTAAGATTTACTAAAAATTTATAAATCTAATTTATTTATTAAAGTAAATGAATTATTAAATAATATAATTATTGAAAAAAAAATTAAAGAAAATACTATTTAATTATTAGATAATAATTAAGGAAAAAAAAAATTATAAATAGTTACAACAAAATATTTAATTAATAAATGATAATTAATTTAAAATTAATATATATATATTTTGAAAAAGTCATTAATATTTTATTATTTTATTTAAATAAAAAATTTAAATTAAAATCTATTTTTTTAAAAGGAAATTAATATAATATATATATATAAAAAATTATAAAATATATAAATAATTTTTATTTCATAAATAAAAAAATAAGAAGAAAAAAAATTAATAAAATTAATAAATATATATATATAATATATATTTATATATATATATATATATATATATATTAATATTTAAGAAATATAAATATTTTTAATAAGTTAAAATAAAATAAATGCCCATTAAAGAAGGTAAAGCTAAATTATGGTTTAAGACCAAAGAAGAAGAAGTTTTTATTTTTTTATAAAAAAACATTTAATCTTATATATATATTAAAAATTCATAAAATCTAAATATACATTAAAATAATTAAAATAGAAAGAATATGATGATAGAATGGTTGCCAACATTGAAATAAAATCTTAAGATTATGATGATGAAAATTTCTCCCCTGTATTTAATAGAAAAACTTAAGAATTTTTCCTTTAACCATCTGAAAGATTAACAAATGATGTTTCAAAAGTAAAATATATATTAAATGAATATCGATAAAATATAATTTTATTTTAATAGATATTAAGACCTATATAAAATCTTTCTTTTGAATAAGTTATGGATAAATACTATTTATATAAGCGAAATAACACATATTATAGGGATTGGCCATTTGAAAAATTCATTGGAGGTTTTGGTATATCATATTTAATATTAAGAGAGGTAAAATTTTATTTAAAAAAAAAAATTAAAAAAAAAAAAAAAGTTGCCTTTAAGAAACTTTTATGCAAGAGCATTTGTTATGTATGTTTTTGCTGCTAAACTTTTAGATCATTTAGGAAATCCATTCCCTTATAGTGGTTATGGAAATTTAGTCGCATAAGAAAGTGACTGGCACCAGTAAAGATATTCATTAAATTTTTTTTAATTATATATAAATAAATGCTTTTTATTTTAATTCTTTATTTCTACAAATATTTATTTTTTTATTAATATTAATAAAGTTGGGATGTCAGATGTTATGACTAAGTCTGGAAAGCTTTATATTTGACCAGAATTCCTACAGCCTAAAATACGTTTCTTTTTATTTTATATATATTTTATATTTCTTTACGTTAAAAATATTTCTTTTTTAAAGAGTTCCTGAAGCTGTTAAATGGTACGGTAGATAGCCAGGACATTTAATTTCTTAAGATCATCACTGGATGCCTCATTTCTTTGCTTAAAAAACATAAAAATATAGAGAAATTTAATGGGTATTTACTAATATTATAAATTTTCTATTTTTAATTTATTTTTATAATATAGGATGGTACTAACAATATGCCTATTAATAGATTGGCAGATCCTAAACATAAGGATTCATATATGATTTAATTCAGATGAAGAAACAGAAAAATTATTATTTTTTTATTACTTTTTTTTTTATTATAAAAAAGATTACATAAATATAAAAAAAAATTAAGGTATATTAGTTAAATTTTATTATGTATAAGCAATATCTAAATATAATAATTAAATAAAATAAAATATTCGAAAATTAAAAAATAATATATTATTAATATAAAATTATATGCATTTATAATTTAATAGTGATATTTATAATTTTTTTTAAGTATTTAAAAATAAATTCAATACATATTTTTTTTAAGTTTCGATTAATTTTTATTTGTTTTTTAAAAAAATAAGAATATTAATAATAATATATATAAGTTAATTTATTTTAGAAATATTTCTGAGAAAGTTAATTTGAATTTATATATAAAAAATATAATTTTAAAAAATATTTTAATTTTTTAAATTATATATATAAAAAAAAAATATATATTAATAATAAAATGAATTCATATTTAGATTTTTTTTAAAAAAAAAATCGAAAACATTCTAAAACTATAAACATAGAAACTAATTTTCGTATTAAAAAATAGAATATTAATTATATAAAATTAAACAAACTCAAAAAAACAAAATTTAAATTATCATTTTTTTTCGAAAAAAAAAAGATTGCAATAATTTTGATTATAATAATATTTAAAATTTAAATGATAATAAGTAAAAAAAAAAAAAAACTTATAAATTTAAAAAAAATTCCAATAACTTTTTAAAATACATAATAAATAAGTTTTATCTACAATAAATAATTTAATTTAATTAACTAAAAGCCATCTTATAATAAATAATAAATTTAAATTCCATTATAACAAAAAAACAGCACTCAAACAATAAAAACAAAAGTATTATATAAAATTAAAATACAAATATATAAATAAATTCAAAAAAATAAAAGGCCTATTCATTGCACTAACGCCAATAGCAACATATAGACTTGCTTTAAAAATATCCTATATAAAAAAATAATTACCATCATAGAATAAATAATCACTAAAATAACAATATCTATTAATTAAACTCAAATTAAATAGATTTATAATAATGTCCTAATATATCTAAAAACACAGAAAATTATAATACTCAAAGAATACAGCAAAATATTTATATAGAAAATCATAAAAACAATCATAAAAATAAAATATTAGATGAAATGATAATATACGATGAATTATAAACTAAAAAAAACTCAAATCAGGAAATAACCACGACAATAACAAACACTTAAGTATATGACGACGAAAACACTACTACAGCAAAAAAATAAACCAAAAAAAAAATTCCAAAAAAAGATTTTTTATCACATTTGACATTTTTATAAGATACATATTGCAAAGTAGATAAATATTTGATAGCTTTATCTTCTGAAGAAGAAGAATAAGAACAATATTAATAATATATTAAAAATAATTTAAAATAAAATAAAAATAATATTACATATGAGGAAAACAAGACATTAATATTCAAATAAAAATATATTGTAGGTAAATAAATAGGACAAGGAGCTTATGCGTGTGTTCGATTGGCTTTAAGTCTGGTTTTAGAAAAGCCTGTAGCAATAAAAATATATGAAAAAGTTCGTTTGAAAGATTTATAAAGAAAAAAAGGCGTTCGAAGAGAAATACGTATTTTATCAAATTTAAAACATGAAAATATTATTTAATTAATTGATACTATAGAAACTAATAACCATGTTAATATTGTATTAGAATATATAGGTGGTACTTCATTATATACATATGTAAAACTAAAAAAAAACTGGAAGAAAATGAGGCTAAAAAAATATTTAAATAAATCGTTTCGGCAATTTATTATTGCCATTCTAAAAATATATGCCATAGAGATATTAAATTAGAGAATATTTTACTTGATCAAAAAAATTAAATACCGAAAATAATAGATTTTGGATTTTCTACTTGTGTCTCTAATCATTCTAAACATAAAATTTTTTGCGGAACTCCCTCTTATATGGCACCTGAAATTGTTAATAAATTAGAATATTTTGGAACTCCGGCTGATGTTTGGGCACTTGGCGTGCTTTTTTATGTTATGGTGTGCGGAAGCTTCCCTTTCAAAGGATAAAATGATAAAGAGTTTTTATTAAAAGTATCAAAAGGAGATATTATTTTGAATGAAAATTTAAGTTAGGAAAGTCGAGATTTTACTAAATGGATTTTAAATACAAATCCTTTATAACGACCTTCAGCTTATTAAGTTTTTTTTTTAAATTTTTTTAATTTTTTTTAACTTTTTTTTTTAAGATATTGTAAAATAAATATTTAAATGAAAGAAGTCATTAAAATATTAAAAATTGTTATTTTTATAAAGCAGAAATGTAAAGATAATAATAATAAATAAATTCTAAATAAAATTCTAATGTATAATTAAAATGTAAATTATATATATATATATATTTTAGAAATTAAAATGTTCATAAAGATGAAAATAATTATTCAAATAATTGCTCTTAAAATAATAAATCAAGAAATAAAAATATTGAAATACAATAAATATAAAATTAATATTAATAATAATAATAATTATTATAAAGTTGTAGAATATATAATAATAATAAAAATAATTCACCTAATATAATATAAAAAAACATAGTTGTGTAATTAAATAATAATTATAATACTTATAGAAATGATAATAACAATATATAAATAAATAAAGTATCTGATTTCTCACCTAATATAAATTCAAATAGAAATAATAATAAATATAGAAGAGATGATAGTAAATAAATAATTTCTTAAAAAAATATTTATTTATAAAAATAATTATAAAATACGTTTGAAGCTTTAAATGTAAATAAATAAAGAAATTAAAAATATTATGATGAAATATTATATAATACATAAAGAACTTATAATTCAAATAACATTTAAAGCATTTCGGAATAATTATATAAATAAAATTAAACTACAAGTTTTTAATAATATTATAATGTAGAAAATTAAAATATTGATTTTTAAAGTATTAAAGAAACTGAATATATATAAAATGTATTTTATAATTTATATATATTTATTTAATTATATTTTTAAAATTATAGAGGAGTTTTAATAATTATACATAAAGACTTCATTATGAATAATTAAATCATAATATAAAGAATCATATAAATTAAGAGAATGAAATACATAGCTAATATTTTAATAAATATAAATAAGGAAGTAATTTTTTTATTATATTAATTAATAAAAAATAGATTTAATAATATTTTTATTTTATATTTAAATAATATAAATTAATTAAAAAAAAATCAAGATTAAAATAATAAAGAAAAAAAATTAGTTTTATAGATAAAAAATAAATTTTAAAAAAATGTGTTTAAGTTAATAATTTTGAATTAGAATTTTTAATAAACAAATAAAATTTTAAATGATAAATTCCTAATTATAAATTTATTAAAATAATAAAAAAATTGAATTAAATTTAAATTAGTAAAAACTGTAATATATATTATATTTATAAAATTTAGATTATTTTGATATATAAAAAAAAAGTATATTTAAATTATTATAAATATATAAGTAAAATATAATAATTAATAAAATAATAATAAAAATTTAATAAATTATAAATATAAATGTAAAAATAATAAGAAAAAGATAATAATAATAAAATATAAAAAAATTTTGTTTATACAATAATAATAAAAAAAAAAAGAAATGAAAAAAAAATAATAATATTCAATATAAAAAAAAAACATAACTAATATATATATATATATATATATATATATATATATATATATTTATATATTCATATTTAATATTTAGTTATCAGAATTTATATTTTATAATCATACTAATAAATATAAAATAGAAGCCAATAATAAATTATAACCAATAATAAATGCTTTTGAATCTCCAAATTAATAGCAATGAAGATTGCACCTTATAAATTCTTAAGTATTAATAGTTTCAATTGATTTTATTTTTTCAATTTACGTAATACTTGCTGAAGTCATTGTTCTGCAATTATTACCGCATAAATTATTCAAATCATTATTATTTTATTATTCTACTACAACATCCCATGCTTTTAAATAGTTCTCAGATATTGAATTTGTTCCTTTTAAAAGCATATTATCTAATTATTCTTGTGATTAACCATTGATTTTTGCAACATATTATTTTTCCCATAATACTAGAATTCTTTAAGATTTTATTTATTCCTGATAAGTCCATTTATCTGAATATGTAAAATGATCTTAGCATTCACTTAAGCAATCACTTGTTTTAAATGCATAACTTTATAAAGTTGCTATAAAGAAAATTAAAATAATATATTTCATTTATTTTTTATTAATAATTAATTATTTTGTTTTATGTATTTTAATTTAAATTAAAGGTATTTTTATTTTTTAAAACAATATTTTATTTGTTATTTTTTATATATTTTTAAAATTTATTTATAAATAAAAATTATATAAATTATTTTATTTTTTAAGTTACATTATTATATATTGTCTGTAAAATAACTACTATTGGAAATATTAATATTAATAATTTATCTTTATATTAGATTATATCAAGAATTAATATTTATATTATTAATTATAATTCTATTTGATATTAATAAAGAAAAATTAATTTATATTATATAAAAAATTAAAATGCAAATATATATTTTTATTAATTATAAAAAAATAAATTATTTAAATGATTTTTAATTTATTTCATATAATGAATGATAATTTTAATAATATTAATATATAAAAATATATAAAAAATTTAGAATTTTTTTAAATCTAATTTAGCATTTTTTATATTGAATAAAAATATATTAATCTGTTTAGCTTATATTATAATATTTATATATTAAATAAATATTTAATTTAATATAATGTTTTTTTTTATATTAAATATAATATTTCTTATTTTAAAGTATGTATTATTTATAAAAGTAACATTAAAATTATGCTAATAAATTATAAATTATATAAAAATAACAAAAATAAGTCTAAAAAATTACTCACTAAAAGTATAAAAATAATTCAAAAAACATTATATCTTATTTTAATACAAATTAAAAAATATCCAAAATTATTTTTTTAATTAAAAAAAAAATCAAACATAAAAAATAAATAAAATGGCCGAATAAATATAAAAAATTATCTAAAATTTAGTAGGAAACATCTAAAATGCTGAAATACAAAAGTAAGCCGAAAATAGCTTAAAACAAATTTCATAATAAGACCCAAATTCTTTTGTAATAAATCTCTTAACATTATTAAAACGTAAAAAAACAAACCTTAAAAAAAATATATATATATATATATTAACTAGATTCCGAAAATAAAGATATAAGAACATTTATAGCATCTCACCTTCGTAAAATAACCAGTAAGTTTTCTGAATAATCGTTTACTTGTATTTGGGAGAGTTTAACACCTGAAACTTAATCTGCCATAAAGCAAATATTATTCGAACTTATAAAAATCGAGTAAACCTCTTCAATAAGAAATCTAATAAGTTCCTGTATAGGAGAATTAGGTAGTTCTTTATTAGAAGATACTTAAAATAACTAATGGCCTGAACTTTTACCTTAAGTATGGTAATTATTTTCTTAAGAAAGTATTCATTTATAGGAAAGTGCCTTTAAAATTCTTTCTAATTTATTAACTTTTGCTAGTGAAAATTTCGAGAAAAACCAAAACGAACTAAAAGTTTTATTCCAAAACGGCTTAAACAACTCCAACACATAAATAAAAGTCTCCTGCATAGAAGCCATAGGAGCCTATATATGTGTCCTTGAGCCCAAAGAATAAAAAAACTATTAATTCTTACTTCCTTTAATCTTCTAAAGTCTATATCAAGTGACATAAACTTCCCAAGATGACGGAATTAAAATTCTTGAAGTTTTAAATGACATCGCCGAAACTGAACCAAAATATTTCAATGAAAATTTCGAAGATCTATTTTCAGTAGTCTGGAAATTAAACATGGAAGAGAAGGAGAAAACCGAAAAAGACTTAAAAGAAATCGGTACTGAAACCATAACCACTATAATAACCCGTATTCCAAAATTAATCCGCCAAAACCCGCAATATATATAAAAGTTGCTTGAACTAGTCTATTCACATATGGTAGACATTGAAAAAGAAATCGAAAGCGACTGGCTCTCTCCAAAAGAAGGTTTCAGTGAAGAAATAGAAGAAGACTCCGACTTCGAATCTGTCCGTTTTGGAATGAATACTATAGATAAAATAATCGAATCCGTTGGAGATAAAGAGACCCTCCCAGCTTTATGGGCTATAATAGGTAAATTATTAGAAACTTAAAATGATTGGAGATATATTTATGCAGCAATAATGTCCTTATCACAAGTAGGTTAATACGTCGAAGAAGATACTGTATTAAAATCCGTAATTGATAAAATCTTAGTTTTTCTCTAACACTAAAACCCTATGATTAGGTATTCAGTATTACACACAATTAGTTAAATATCCGAAGACGCAAAGCCAACTCTATAAGAATTATATAAATCCAATTTGACATAAATATTAGTCTAATAATTAAACGATTCAGTCCCTAGAGTAGTTTCCTAAGCCTCAGAAGCCTTAGCGACTTATTTAGAGGGTTTAAAATCTGAAGACATAGACTAGACTTAAATCGAGAAAATCCTCTAAGACCTTTTCTTATTAATAAACAAAGGAATTTCAATCGTAAAAGAAAAAGCCGTTTTTGCTCTCGGTTCTCTAATAGAATTATCTAAAGATAAATTCCTTAATTACTTCGATTAGTGTATGATTTCACTCTTTGATATTTTCAGTTAATATACATAGAAAGAATACAGATAATTAAGAGGAAATACTATAGAATGTATAACTTTAGCTTCATAAGCTGTTCCTAAGGAGAATTTCTCGAAATATTTAGAAAAAATAGTATAGACAATTATTTATTTATAAGATTAATAAATAGATTCCTAAAATAAAATTGACCCTTTAAAAAGTTACGTTTTAACCGGCTGGTAGAGACTCTCTTTGAATTATTCTTCATAATTAGTTTCTTATTTACCAAACATAATACCCGGAATATACAAATTAGTAGAATAAATAGTAATTAAAAAAACTGAAGATGAAGTCGAAATTTATAACTCAGATGATGCTGAATTAGCGCTAGGAATGTTGGAAGTTTTCATATAAGAATTCGGCTCTAACTTCTCTTCTTATGTAGAATAAACAACTAAACTAATCACCCCCTTATGTACTTATAGATACTCAGAAAATATTAGAGACACAGCCTCTAAATGTCTTCCTGGTCTAGTAAAATGTGCCGAAAAAGAACCTCATATTTAACAAAATATCGTCAGATACTTCATCGGTATACTCTGGGATGCTGCCAATAAAGAATATGACAGCGAAGTGATGATTGCTTAAATAAACGCGATGAAAAGCTGCATCGAAAATACAGGAGACTTCATGACTTCAGAAGAATTAGTCAATTTATCCTAAAAAACGGTAAAGCTTTTGCTTGATTCGGACAAAAGAAAAGCCGAATCTGAAAAATGGAAAACCGAATAAGAAGTAGATGATGACGAAAAGGAAATTTATGAAGAAGAAGTTCATTTAGAGGAAGATTTATAAGTATAAATAGCTGAACTAATAGGAGTTTTATTCAAAACCCATAAATAAAAAACTTTGCCTTTTGCCCAAGATCTATACTCTGAAGTTCTTCCTAAAGTAATAGATACTAAAGTCTCTGATAAAATGCATAAATTCGGTATTTTCCTAATTGATGATATGGTCGAATTTTTAGGCTTCGAATTTTTAGGAGAATAAAAATGGGACGAATTCCTAAAAGCCTTAAGTCATTTTGTTTTAGATAAAAATATTTAAGTTAGACAAGCTGCAGCTTATGGTTTAGGTATTTTCTCAATAAATACTCCAGTGTAAATTTTCCCTAAATATTCATCTGTTATATTAAAAGCATTATCTGATAGCGCCTAAATTGCCTAAGGAAAGGAAAAAGATAAGAATTTTGGACATTGTAGGGATAATATTATTAGTTCTATAGGAAAAGTCTTAAGATATTAATTCGATAGTGTTAATGTGGGAGAACTTTTGCCTTTTTGGGTTAAAAACTTGCCTTTAAAAAAGATAAACCGGAAGCTTTTTTCAATCATAAATTTTTAGGCGAGTTGGTGTTGAATAAATTTAATCTAATTTCTTAAAGTGCAGATTTGTTAGGATTATCTTTGAGAGTTTTTGGTTAAGTTTATGAAAGTAAGCTTTCTAATGAAGAAAGTAATTAGGTTATTAAAGAAGCTGTTAAGGTATTGGCTTAAAATGACTTTGTTAAAGCTAATTGGAGCACTATTGTTTAAGGTTTGAGTGATAGTTAATTAAATAAATTAAAATCTATTTTTGCTTGATTTTTATTTATTTAATATATATATATTTATCTTTTAAGCGTTTTTAATAATTTTTATTTTAATAAATTTATAATATACATATTATTTAAATATATATTATATATATAAGATATTATTTTTATTTTATTATAAAATTAAATTAGATTTTTTTATTTGTTAAATATTTTTAATATAATTAATTTTTATTTTGAATTTTTAAAAAATAAGATTTAAATTTTAAATTAATTAAACATTTTTTTTCAAAAAATCTTAAAATTTTTTAATTAAATTTCAAAGAGATCAAATTTATTTTAAATAACTATTAAAAGATTTAAGAATTCTCATAAAAAATTAATTATAATAGTATAAAATACAAATAAAATATTCTTAATAACTAGTATTCGTAACACTAAATCAAAATAATATAATAACAATAAGTAAATTTACAAAAACATATAAAAAATAAAAATATTTTATCATTTATTTCAAAACATTATTAATTTAAACCAGAACATATATCATCATAACTGATTATAATAATATTTTTTTTTATGAGAATAGAAACACAGTATTAGAATTAATAATAAATAGCTAATCTTTAAATTTTTATATATAATTATCATATCATATGAAAATTAAAAATATTTCATCTATTATTAATATTCGAAATAATAAGTTAGGCTTTAATTAATTTTAGAAATTAAATCTTTTATTTTTATAATAACCTTATATTGTGAATATTATTTTGATAAAAATGTGTTAATTATTAAATTTAATTTATTCTTTTATTAAGAACTTTTTTTATCTTTATTATTGTATTTATAACTATTATTATTATTTAAAAATAAATATTTCTTTAATTCGTTTGTCTATAGTTATTAATATTTTAATAATATTGATTATTATTAATATTATTATATACTATGAATAAATCCAATTTTTTTTTTTAATTTTAATTTAAATTATCCTATATTTCTATAGTTCTAATTAATATTATACATAAAAATTCAAATATATTTTTAATAATGATATGTGATTTTTATTTTATTTTTTTTAAAAAAAGATTGAAATCGGGTTTATAATAAAATAATATAAAAAAATATGATTTTTATTTAATATAAATCGTTTCTTTCATTTTATTTTTATTAATTGTTTTTATAATATATAATTATATATTTTTATTTTTATTTAATTAAATCTAATAATTTTAAATATGAATTTATAAATAATATATATAATATAATATATTAAAAATAATATTTATTTATATAAATATTTTATATTTGTCGATTGATTACATTATTTTAATACATTTTCTTAAAATTAATTTATATTTAAAATATTCGTATATAAATTTTAATTATTATTTTTTATTAGAAAAAAAATATTTTATTTATTTAAAAAGATATATCAATTTTAATAATATGAAAAATTATAATAATACAATTTAGTTTTCATTTATTAATAATATACAAATTATAAAAATTCAAAACAAATCTAAATCTAAATCTTATTAAAAAACTCTAATAATTTTTTAAATTTATAAAGATGTAAACAGCTTATCTCTCAAAAATTAACAATATACATACTTAGCTTTATTTCCTTTAGTAAGCTTACTCTTAAACAAAATAAACTTAACAGCAGAGACTAAAATTCCAATAACAACAATATCATAAGCTAATAAAATACAATAAGATTAAATCCAACTATTAGATGCATCATATGTAGTATTTGCAACATTAACCATAATACTATAATAACAAAAACATAAAGAACATAAACTTATTAAAATTCCTAAATATTGAAGTATTATATTTTTTGCTGAAAAAAGCTTATTAATTATAAAACAAACAATATTTAAGATTATTGATAGAATTAAATTTATAATTAATTATTAAAATTAACTATAATTATAAACAAAAATAGTATTAGCAGCCAAACAAAAGATTATTTTGAAATAATAAATTGTTAATCTTAGAGATCTTGAAATATCTTCATCATACATAAAGAAAATTAAATAAATTTCATGCATTTTTAATATTCCGATTAACATATTAAACCCTGAAACTATATTTTGCATTTTTTTTTCATCATTTTAATCTTATTATAATGATTTTATATCGAAAATTTTATTGTTTTTATTTTACAAACAATATGTTTAAGATTTTTCATTTACTCTGTTAAAATTATTTGCCCATCTTTCTTAATTCTATAATTTTTTTCTTTATAATTATTGATATTTTTCAGGCATAATAGAAGAAGGATCTAAATGTAAATGTAACTTTTATTTTGACTTATGAAATTAAGATTTTATTAAATTTATTGATTATATAGGACTATGGTTTGTGCTTTATAATTGTTAACTATTTTTTAGATTAAAATTAGTCAAATTATCTTCTTACAGTTATTAATTTCCTATAGAATATATTTTTTTTTATTAAAAAAAAGTGTTTTTAGGGGAACTATCAACTCCTTTTTTATGTAAATAATTTATAAATAATTTTTATATTACTTTATGGAGAAGCTTATTCATTTCTTACAAAATCTATTGTATTAGTAGCATATTATGCATTCTAATCTTATCTATTTATATTTTCTACTTTAAGATTATTTTAAGAAGTTTTATATCCTCTTATATAAACAGGTTTAGTTTATAAATATTATTTATTATCATGAAATTATTATTAATCAAATTAATTATCATACGAAAACTATTAAAGTAATTGATCTACTTATTTTTTTTCTTTTGTATTTTCATATAAATTATTATTTTATTAAAGCTATATATCATTCTAACTTTTTTATGATCTACTTTATTTTATACCCAAAATATTATTTAAATTTAATTCTAATTAAATTTCATTTTAAATTTATGCTTTTAAATATAGATTAAAAAATAATAGATTATATTATAAAAAATACCTGAATTCTTAAAATTTAATTAACTTTTTTTAATATTATTTTATTTTAATAAATTATTAATTTTTTCTTTAGCTATTGCAGCTTTGTCTAATTATCTCAAATAAACTAGAAATATAATATAGAATTAATTCGATACATAAATTATCCATACAGTTGCATATTTATACCATTCGCTTAAATTTTTTAAATTTTCAATGCCTTATTCACTAAACATATTTTTTAAATTTTGGTTATCCGTAAAAATACTTTCTATATCATCTACTAGTGTTTATTTTCCCTATTTTTTACATTAACATATAACTGAAGATACTAATTTCTTTTTATTTATTTATTAAACTTTATTACAGTTTCCTTATTCCCATTTATTATTAATTTAAGTTAAACACGAAAACCCAGTTGTAGAATTCGAAGGATTAGGAAGAGTGAATGTATTAGCAATTTAAGTATTAATAGGTTATTTTTATATTTCATTTGTCTATTTATTAACAGTTTAATAAGTTATTTAATTATCAAATACTTAAAATTATTATTTATCTGGATAAGGGAAACTTTTATCATATTTAACTATATTAGCTGGATAGTTTCTCATTTTTACATCATAAGTCATTTTTTCTTACCCTTCTTCGTCAATAAATTTCATAATTTATTCACTATTATTATCTTTATCTTTATTTTATTATTATTCATTATTTTCATAAGAATTAGTCAAGTAATTTTATTTTAAAAACTTAAAGCTTACTTTTTAAGATTTAACTATATTTTTTTAAGAAATCTAAGACTCGTTAGGAATAACATTGAGATTTAAAATTTCTGATGAAAGTTAGATTAAACCGACATATTATTTATCTAAAAAAATATTTTCTTCATCCGAAAATTTCCCTCTGTCTATTTTTTGAATACTTTATATACTAGAAACTTATTATAAAACTAATTATATAGACGAAAAATATTATTAATATTACTAAACGTCTTTAGCTTATATTTTTTTTATTATATTTTCTTATTCAATTAAAGTTTATTCTATTTTCGATAAATAATCTAATATATCTTTGTATTTTAAAATATTCATTATTTAATCTAATAAGTTTTAAGAAATTAAGTTAATTGTCATTTATATTTAGACTTAAACATCTTGATTATCATTAAATTTTTATTATTAAAAAAGTAAATCTTCGTAAATATTTTTGACAATTTTAATTAAATTTTAATCTTATTTTAGCTCTTCGTTTATTAATATATTGGAAACAATATCTTAAACAAGAATACATAGTTAAATAACTATTTGTTATTTAAAAGGTATTTAAATAATTATTTTGTAAGTTTCTTGTACTAAATAAACATATTATTAAACGTTTTCATAAGAATTTTTTATTTCAACATTTTAAGTCATATTTCTAACCGCACCCAAATTATCAAATACACAGCCTATGATTACTTTTGCCCCGAACGGCAAAATCGTTGATATTCTACTGATAGTAGATTTTACATTTAGAGCATATCTCTTAGTAAATTGCGGATTTAAAATTTCATATTAAAAATCTTCTTAACTTTTATAATAAAAGAAATTATAATATAGAGGCTAATCTTAATCTTAGCAGTTATTAATTTAGAAAACATAATTTTATTTTAAACTAAAAATTTCTTATTATTAATTATTAAAATTTTAAAAAAGGCAATTTAAAGGCGGCAAATTAGCTTTTAAAGAAAAAATAATTAAAGAAGGCTATTATATACTAAGGATCAAAAACTGCAAATCTTATTTAATAAGAATTTTCTTCTTCATTTATAAAATCATTAAAATAATTCCATGTTTAAAATCTTACTTAATTATGAAAAAACTTTATAGTATTTTTCACATCGTTTTAATACAATACAGCGCCACTAAAAAATAAATTGTCTAAATTATTCTTTCCTTCATAATTTAATTATACAAAAATTTATTAATTTAAATTTATTCTTTAAGAAAAATCGTTTATTGATGTATTAGAATTTAAAGGAGGTATATTTTATTCCAAAATAATAAAACTTTGTAAATTTTAAACTACGATACCATCTTTTTCTCCTTCTAAAATAAAATAATAAAGATTATAGGCTTCTAAAGATTTTTCTTATACTTTTATTTACAATATATTTTATTTCATATTAGGGTCAACAATTAAATCATTTTTATAATCCCGACAATCGTTTTAACTTTTTGCAGTTATACATTTCCATTTAATTTTAATACCATAGTTATTGTTTTTTTATACTTCCTTTTCACTTGGAGATAAATCTAAATTATCAATGAAAGCATTTACATAAAAAGAATTCGAAAAAGATTAAATACTGCTCATACCTTATATTTATACTATTTATTAGCTTTTTTATACCAAAAAAGAGTGTATTATTTCTTAAAATATTTAACTATTATTTGCGTCTGAGACAGTTATTTTTATTTGATATGTTTTATCTAATATAAGTGTATATGGCTATATATTAACTATATGCTCATTATCTATAGTTTATTTTTCTATATTTATATTTAAATTATTTTACAAATTATCCATTTATTCGATTTTTAATAGCATATTTTTTCATTCACTTTTTTTAATTTTTCTATAGGATCGCATTATAGATAATAAAAAATAACTTTAAGTTTGAATTCTTCATACCTAAAAACAATATCTTTACTGTTTTCTAATTATAAATCAATAAATTTATCATTTTTTGTATTTATATTTATAACTACACTTTACTTTTGTTAAAAAACAGTTTCTATTTATACTTCGAATTGATAAAAGCTACTTCCTTTAAAAGTCATACTTGGAATAACTAATATAAAATTATTTTATTATTATTATAATTATGCATTCAATTAATTTATAAATTATTAACTTTCAGATGAAGCTATTGATATCCAATTTATACTTTTAGGAATTCTTTTTCCTATATTTTATAATTAACTAATTTGAATAAATAATTCATCACATTTCGAAATTAAAGTTGGCGAATTTATTGTAATTATAGGACTTAAAGGATTTTAATCATAAATAATTTTTCCTTTTATTTTTTAAATAAATTAAGTACATTCTACTCCTTTATATGTAATTTTGAATACATTTTCTTTAATAACTATTATATCATCTTTGTTTATTATGCTTTAAGGACTTAATCTAATAGTAAGCTTATTTTAAATAAAAGAACAGGCAATATCATTACTTAATTTTTATGTTATAAATTATTAATTTAAAACTTCTGAACAAAGTAAATAAGAAAACCTTGATTTTTATTAATCATTTTGCAAATTCGAATTATTCAAAATTAGATTAGTTATTACTCCTAAATTAAAATAATCAAAATTAACAAATAATAGTTCAAAATCGTTACTAAAAATAATTTAAACATTTAATTCTTAACAAGAATCACATTATTTCAATTAATTAAAATCAAAATATAAATCAGGAATGCATGAGATACATTCATTTATAGTGCATTACCCACATCCAATAAGCACATTTTTACATTCAAAACATTATTTTTAATAATCATTTGAAAAGATTGAATACAAAGGACAATCGCATTAATCTCCAACTCTATTTCCAAAACAGCCATTACAAGTCAAACCATTATCACATGATTTACATTTGTTGTCACAAAATGAACATTATCTATTACTTGCATTTTTATATTTGCCTTATTGACAATCTATTAAGCAACTCTAATTATCAAAAAAAAATCCTAAATTACAGCTTTAGCATAAAGTTAAACTAGTACAATTTTCACACTTGCTATCACATGAAGTACAAGTTCTATTAGAATCATTTTTAAACTTCCCAATCGGACATT